CTCAGTTTTGGTTCAATAGCCGAGATGATTAATTTCAGGTGTTAGCCTGCTAATATTCATACTTGCTTTGTGGTTCTGTGTTCCCGACAGAAACATATTTTCCTGCAAAAATTAATATGTTAAAATCTGTAGAAACACAATAGTGCTAGAAAAGGTGTGAACAATTTCCTCATTTACCTCCTTGAGGTACAGTATAAACATCAAAAGCTAGTTACGGCTTATTTCAGGAGTAGCAGAATTATTGATTCCAGCCCTGTGGCTGGTGGAATAAGAGCTTGGCTGCTGCCTGTCGAACAGTGAGCTCTTGGATCGCAGACACGCCGGCAGAAGTATGTCTCGCTTGGTAGTGGACAGACCTGTTTCCATTTTGCTTAAATCGTTGGCTGGCTGTTGCACTCTGCTAGTTTTATGAAACTTGTCGGCTGCATGCAATAGTAGCAGAGGCTCCAGCTGATTAGCACTTCCTTCAATAGCAAAATGTCACTGAGGCACTGGGAATATATAGTGGTTAATAAGTAAAATGCAGCCAGACATGCTTTAAGTGGGATATAGGGAAAAATGAATGGATGAGGTGGTTGTTGATGGCTAACTTGTTTTAAGATTTATAGTGGAAGGCTTTTTTTCCATTTAGTACACGTAGTCCATTCAAATATGTTTTTCTTTTCTAGTTTCTCGAAGTTGCCAAAAGAATAAATTCCCCCCTAATAGTTTTATATGATAAATATGGCATAAGCCTGTTTGAATTTTTCTATCATTTTGGGGGGAAAAATGAAATGTTATTTGCATTTTTCCAGGGATGTCCAAAGTGTGCCAGGAGTCCAGCAGTTGTCTTTAGTATGCATGCATTTCAGCTGTAGCATTTGCTCCTGCTTTCAGTGCAGAATTGGGACCTCTGAAACATGCAGGTCCCAGTTCTTATCAGTCTATCTGTGCCCACCAGTGAAGGAAATAAACCCAAGCATTTCAAGTGGGTATTTTAATCTTTACAATGCAAAGTTTGGTATGGTGAAGCTGTTAAACTACATCAGTCATGCTTGGGAGAGTATAGATTCATTATATATGAGTATTTTTAAATTAACTTGGATTTCTTTTTCTTTTAAAATTGCTTTGAAACTTACAGCTTATTTCTCATTGCATTTTCTTTTTAAATATTCACCAGGCTCAGTCTCAAGGAGCAATTACGTTTAAAATTATACCTAGCGTGAAGGAAGAAATGCCAGTGAAGGAAGGCAAGGTAGGCAAGAGTATTTCAGAAGCTACTGTGGTAACTTTTGTGCTGAGGACATATATTGTTTGCTTGGATGACAGAATGAAGAATGTGAAATATACCTCCAGACTCAGTTTTTCTAATATGACAATGTGTAGTGCACTGTACGCTTCAATACTCACATGCTGGATTTACAAGTAGATGTAACATGGTTCTTAAGCCCTAAATCTATAGCCATGAAGTTGACATAGGTAATCTCTGGTTGTCTTGGAGGACCTGGCTTGCTTCCAACAACTCCTTTTCTTCCATCATAGGTTGGGTAGAAGATACTTGGTAGCACCTTGGTTCAAAAGTATCTTCTCTTCTGTTTCCCATATGGGCACACAGTTCACCTGCAAAATCCTGTTTGTCTTGGTTCATAGAGCTTTTACTGCATTGGGATTGCAGTTGCAGAAGCAGTGAATTTAACACTCCTATATGAACTTCTGATGTTAGACATCCATAAGGATATTTTACAGCAGCAAATGTTTATTGCTTTACAATACTTCAATGGTTTTGAACAGTAAAAGCAAAAAAGGGAGATACCTTTGGATTACATTTAATATTTTGATTCTAAAGATAAAACATGGTTTCTTCCAGATGTTTCTCAGAGCCCTGTTTGACTATGATCCTAATGAGGATAAAGCAATTCCTTGTAAAGAAGCTGGACTTGCTTTCAGAAAAGGAGATATACTTCAGATCATGAGCCAGGATGATGCAACCTGGTGGCAGGCCAAACACGAAGGTGATGCCAATCCCAGAGCAGGCTTGATCCCTTCAAAGCATTTCCAGGAGAGGTGAGCTACTGAGAAGCGTAGTTTCGTTATTTTTGTAGTAAGAGAAGACACTTATTTGCCAGGCTGTGAAGTTAGCATAGTTGTCATGTGTAATGCTCATAGATTACATGGATATGATAAACCTGCATTTGCAATGAGACAACTGAACTTGGAAACCTGTTGCTGAAATACTTTGGATTTCTTTATTTGTCTGACTAGAATCAATAATGACAAAAACTGATAGCGTAACAACGATCCAGATTGACAGAAAAAACATATGGAAAATAGCACCTCAGTATGTGTACTCACACTGATGTACTATGTAAGAATAAGAACTGCAGCAAGTTTTGAAGAGCTTACAAAAATATGAGGATTTAATTTTTTTAGATTGTGAATAATTGTATTGTTTTAAGTTAATTTCTTATAAAATCCTCTGGATATTTTGCAATAGTCTTATTTTTTAAGTGTTTATTAATCCCAAACTTGTGGTGAAAACTGAGGAGTTTGTGTCTTTCCCCTACCACCTCCCATTTTATAGGAGATTTGCACTAAGAAGACCAGAAGTGCAGATTCAGCCATTGAAAATTTCCAACAGAAAATCATGTAAGTCTGTTAACCTGGAACAGAAATCATACTCCAGATCTCTGACCTTGTAAAACAGCGTTTGTTTCAGCCCTGTGACTACAGGATGCATTTCTCCTGGGCACAATAGCTTCTCGATTGCATTGTATCAGTAGGAACATAAATATAAGAGCTCAAATTAAAGCCTTTAAAAGCAGCTAACAATTTTTCCCAACTCTAGCTTTGTTTTTGAAGCACTGAGTCAAATTAATGTTTTGATATATAATATTACAAAGGTTGAAGAGTGTTCTTTTCCTATTGAAATAGTACAAGAATTGGCTCAACAGTTTATATAATTTGGACAGCATCGATACAGAGAAATTTATACTGTGAGTGAGATAAAAGGTCAGATAATCTCTCCTTCTCTCCTCCATATTGCTGGTGATTTTTTTTGTGTCCCATGAACCAGCAAAAAGTTTTAAAAGTCAGGATATTCAATTCTTTGTCAGGCTTTCACAGAACCACTTTTTAGAGTTTTTTGAACAAATTAATTCTTAATAATATCTTTTCAAATACAGTAGTTCCACAATATAAGAAAAATAAGCTCTAAGAAAGCACATACATCAAAACAAATATTTTCTTTCCACTGGAATTTACATCAACATCTGTTTTAAGTATTACTGCATATTTTACTTGACCTGTTATTTCTTTCAGTTGTACAGGCTCACAACAAAGTGAGTACAATGTAAGAAACTATCATGCTTCAGTAGGATCTAAATCTTAAATACAAACATATTTGTGAGTTCAGCCAGAAATATTCAGAAAGTGGTCTAAAATTTCCAGCCATCTTTCATTCTTTAGCATTAGAACAGAAAGTATGGACACGATGGCAAACAGTGGATGCTGGCACACTATGGGCGAAACTAAATGCTTTTAACTGTAAAACTTTTCACTGACTTTTCTATTGCAATTTTCCTAACTTCTTGCTGTGGCTTTTGTGTTCTGAAGTTTGACAACTACTGTTAGTTTTCTAATAATCTGCATTTTCTATCTTTCATTCCATTTCACTGTTTGATTGAGTTCCCTAATGCCCTTGATTAGCTTTGTAATTACAATAACAAACTATATGATTGCATTATGGCTTTTCTAATTTACATAGATAATGGAAACAAAAAGGACCTCCTCCAGCTTGTAGTAAATCTGTTGTTTTTCTAGGTTCTAGGTCAAGTTGCTCTGCCCCAGTTTTGGAAAAGTGTCTGATCCCAGGGTATAGCTATTTCTCTCTGCCCACTGTTCTTGAATCTGGATAATACCCTCAACAAGAGCCTTCAATTAAGGTGGCACTGGTGCTTTTGAAGAGGTAAATCAGCTGCTGCAGCAACACTGCATGATTACTTTTGTAATGGACTGCATCTTTTAAGTGACCTTCAAGTGAAAGGTTTTACAAGATGCATCTCACCCTTCCAAACAGGCAGCCTGAACTTGATTGGGAATTGCCAAAATTGCAACCCAAAGAAGACCCACAGCACAATCTCTATTACTGTATAGTGCCTGAACTAGCTTACATGAGGGAGAAGAGTTCCTCTCTTCCTTCCCTTTCCTTTCAAACATGACAGAGCCATAGAGTCAAGCAGTATGCCTATGGTAGTTCTCCTTCAGACTTTCTTTAAACAAAGCAAGGTCAGTCTAAATACCGTGTAGGAAGCAGTGGTGCCTCTTGAATGAGGAGAGACTGCAGAGTGATGCAGATTTGTCCTTTTCCATCTTCCCCATTTCTTAGGACAATCTGCTGCTGCATCTGCCAGATTTCTGTGGGAAGAGGGGAAGTACTGTTCTGAGTAGTGGTCCATCCCTTCATTCAAATATTAAACATATTTAGTGCTGGCAGGAAATTTAGTAATTCATAGAGGAGACATTTTAAGGACCAGAATTCAGCTATAGAAAAATATGTTGTGACTAGGATGTTGCTCGAGTTGCTCTCGGGAAAACCTTCCACTTGCTTGGCTTTTCAAGAAGATTTCGTGTAAGCTGGGAAACTCCTCACTCTCCCTTGTGATCTTTCTAAAGTTAGGAAGCTTTTTCATGTTACCAAGCATGGCAGTGAAGCTGTCACATGTGGAGGCCATGTCTGTATTCGTGCACAGCAGTCACCTTGCCAAAACTGGGAGATGCTGGAAAATTGTGCATTGCTCAGCTGAACAAACAGCATACTGCTGGTATCAGAAACATGTAAGGAAAGTGACACAGAGAACAGAAAATTGGAAAGGACTTCTGGGTCTCATTTGTTTTGTTTGAATTTTTGTTGTCCCTCTTCTGTATTGTGGCCCACTGATTATTGTCCTCTAAAGTTTTCTTTAAGAAGTTCCCATGTAAGAGAGTGGGAAATTAGTGATGAAAAGAAATTTCTTCTGATTCCTTTTTAATCCTGTACTACAGACCTTCAGCTTAATACAGGGTTCTCCAATGTTTGGAAGAGTAGTTGGGGAAACATACTCTGTAGATCTTCCTGAACTAGGTGTATATGGAGAGGTTGCTTGCTATTGCAGCTGACCCTGTCCAATCATATGGCCTGAATTTCCTTAGTTTGGAGGGAAAGGGTAATTTGCTAGCTGATATGCTTATACCTTCCCAAGGATGAAAACCTGTTGACTTCAACAGAGCTGCTAATAAAAGTCCCTTTCCTGACAGGACTGGGAGTTGCACTAGGAAGCTTTCTTGAGAGGTGGTAAGTAGCACTGGATGTCAGCCTGCTCTGTTCAGTCAGCTCGTTGCACGGATCCCACCTTTTATAATGAGGAAGAAATCTAGGTATATGCCTTTGGTTTTAATAGGGAGAATCAAGGAGAAATATTCTATTATCTTGGATACCCAGAAAATGTGAGTCAGCTCTGGTTTCTTAGGTGGGCTTCCAGGGTGGTAGTGTCCTTCTACTCAAAAATTAATCTAAAATTTAGTCAAAATTATATAACATACAAGAAGTATCCTACAACTTCTTTTTTTTTGTCTCTTCTCAAGACAGTTCTGGAACTGGAAATAACTGCTGTATTGTTCTAGAAAATGAGCTCTCTGAAACACAGTCAATAACTGCATTTACAATAACATCAACATCTATCAGGATTTACTTTAATAATTAAATTCTTTTCAAAACCTGCAAGAAGCTAGATTGGATTACTTTTGGGAAACCTTCTTTCCATTTCCCATTTTGCATTTTTAACTCTTTTCAGCATAGCAGTGCATGTTGTGTAAAGTTGTTAATCTGTGCACATATCTGCATTTCATAAATTTGGAAGCAAAATAAAAAGGGCTTTTCTGGAGATTCTTGCATGTATACATATATTGAGGAAAGAGTAGAGGATACCTTCCATAGAATTTTTTCAGCAAGAATTATTTGCAGTGGAAAAAACAGAAATGCATCCTAGTTCTAAATTACTAAAAGGATCAGTTTATAATGGAAATGCCAATTCTTAGTTTTGGTTTTAATAGCCCAGTTAGCTGTTGTCTGTGTTTACAGTTAATATAAGTACAAGGAAATACTTTTGCTTTATGGAAGGCACATACACACTCCTCTCCCGGCATTTAGCCATTTTCCTGAAAGACAAAGCAGAATAATTCTGACATTGCACTAAAGTGAAAAACCTTTAATAGGTCATGTGTATACTGGAGAAGGGGGTAAAACCCTGTATGCTCCATATTGAAAGGTAAGTGAACTCACTCTTTTTCATTTGCAAATGGAGAAGGTGCCTAGTCTGGGGCTCTCTGGGAATAAGGTCGAAGGCCATTGATAATATAGGTGGAACCTATGCTGACAAGATATGGTTTTACATTGAGAGAAGGTTGCAGAAAAAGTAGGAACAAAGAAATACAAGGAAAAGCAGGGAAGTGAAATTGTGTATTGTGGATGAAGAAAAGGAGAGAAAGTACTTCAACAAGGGCAATGGAAGAACAAATGGACAAAAGCTGCCCATAAACCCCATTAGGCAAAACAGAGGGGTTCTGAAATTATTAGATTAATGCAATTAAAAGTATCACACAAGACCATTACTATAGTCATGATTTGCACTATAGCTTAGTTGTTTCATGATTGCATTTAAATCAAGTGCTAATGTATTTGTTTTGTTAAAGTTTCTGAAACAGTGATTGCAAAGTTTACTAGGAACTCTGACCTGTTTTGTTATTATTGGTAGAAAAACTCAGTAAGTTCAACATTAATACTTGGTAGGTTTAAAAAGCATGAGATAAGTAGCAGTTAGATATGCTGACCCACTGGTAAAATGGATAGTGCTACTTCCCAGGCTCTGGGTTAGTGCAGAAACAATGGAGGGATAACAAACCTCTCAAGCATTTTCAGCATTTTTCCCCAATACTTAGTAGCAATGACTTTTTGGCAAAAAGCAGTGCAGCTGTGCATTAATATTATGGGAAAATGATACTAGAAGAAGATATAAGAAAAAGCAGCATAGAAATGAAAATAGGAGAATGGAATGAAAGTAAAGGAACAGAGATGCATGAGATTGTGTGTAGGACTAACCCTCCACGTGGTGGGATGATGAACGTGGAGTGTACCTGGCATGAGGTGTGAGTGAGCTCTGTGGGAATGGAGGGAGGTACAGTGGAGGTGCATCTAGCTGCATGCAGTCTGCCTGGGCCTGTCTGAGCTTGTGAGCTACTGCTGAATGCCAGCTCCACAGAAACCTGCTCACCTCAATAACACTTAACAGCGTTCCTGGCTTTAGGAGGTCAACTGAGCTTGGGTACAGCATTGTAGCCAGAGTTAAGCCCTGTGAGTTCTCCTCTCACTGCATCCTGGCCAATTAGGAGTGAGACTCGGTACAGGGAAGACTTATTTTGTTTACTAGCTTCCAGTTCTTGACTTGGATACAAGATCTACTCATGCTCTGACTGTAGTAGTCATTGCCAAACCCCATGGTCATTCTTGCATTTTTTAACTTACTCACCTGGGTTTTTGAGAGAAAAAAAAAAAAAAAGTAAATTTCTTTGAATAACAACCAAATAACTTGCTGTTCTGAGGTTATAAACTAGAA